TTCATATATTCTCTCTGTGTCTGAAGAGTCAGGTGTTGAAATAGCATAACAGTCTGTCTATTGAAATGAGAAAGAATATGAATATCTCTCTCTCTATCACTGTTGATGAGTTAAAACGCGAGTTTCAGCTATCAGAAGAAGAAGCTTGAATGAAAGCTCAGACTCTGTGTTTTTTCTTTGAGAAGTCAGATGAACTGTCTCTGATATTATACATCTTACAGAAGATTAACTTACTGCAAGCTGCTGTAATCTCTGATTCTGTTATAGTAAAGAGGCTCTTGTAAGAGAATTTAGAGTTCAATCTTTTCTTAATTATATCACTCATTCTCACTGAACAATTGAATGACTTCTGATAATAAATTAGAGACAATGAGTCAGCTGTCTGATATGTCTGAACTGATCAGAAGACTTAATTCACTGACTATATATATAGTTCCAGATATTTTAAACAGAATAATAACTGCTGTCTGTATCACATCTCTCTATTCAAGCAGACAGAAGCTACAAAGCTGTCTATGTCTACTGCAGAGACAGCAGTGATTCTCACAAGTGCTCTCACAATGAGTAAGTTGCTGATTCAGTGTATAATAGAAGAAGGAAGACTGTCAGTGCCTGCAGCAGAGTGCTACATCTGTGAAGACTCTCATTACATCAACTACTGCCTTAAAAAAGAGGAGAACAGTGATTATTCAGTGAATCAAGTTGAATTGAAGAGTACTGAAGAAGATGACAATGAGCTGCTGAATCTAGATCTCAGTCTAGATTTCAACAGTGAGTTGAAAAAATAATCAGTGAGACAAGTACTGAGAGACTTATCTTGTCTACAGACATTTTCTCAGATAATTATTGAAATATCTTTAATGCTGACATATATGCAGTTGCAGTGTGTGATATCTCTATAAGTGATCAAGAATACATTAACAGACTACAGTATTTGTCTTACACCTTTCTCATTATTTCTGTCATTATGCTACAAGACAATCTCTCTGTTTACATGAATACAGGTGCGGGTATATCACTTATTGATGCAATAATAGTAAACCTATTCTTCTCTCATTGTCAACTGATCTCTATGTCACATGATTGACATGTGAGCATTTGAGAAGTTAGCTCAGAAGCTGATGAATCAAATCTATTCATAATAACAGACCTTATCTTGAGAATGAATAACAATTCTCTTTTCATTGTTGAAGATGAATTCCACTTAGTGTGATATCTCAGATGCAATATAATCATAGCTAATAATGTATTATCATCAGTGAAAGCAACTATCAATGTTCACAGCAAACTTGTTACATTTTATGAAAGATATTTCATAAATACCAAGATCATCAGAGATGCTATCCACGCGGATAGATGTCTGCTAAACTCACAGCCGCTCTGGCAGTGAAAGAAGATTGTCATTTGTGCTGTCAATGTCAATGTCATTCATCATTCTTACTGAGAAGATCCTCTGTTTTCTATCTCATACATCAAATTACATTTGGCAGATGCAGAAGATCAGGATAATTCACTTCAAATTCTCACAGCAGACACTCTCATTAAGTGAGTTCAAGTGAATGTATCAGATCACTGAGCAGCAGAAGACTGAGTAGTCATTCAAGCAATCATTGATCAACATCACAAACTATTTAGCTTCAGCCTAGGCTTATTTTCAGATGATATTAAGATGTCACTGCAGTTCATTAATGAGAGCAACTTTTCCAGTCTGAAACAGAGACTCTATTCTCTATCTCAAAGAGATCACAAAGCCACTGATCAGATTCTGAACTCACTTCTGTAAGATAGAAGAATTGAATATGTTTCTCTTGAAGACAGGAATCTCATTGCTTCACCTGCCTTTATGATCTGGCTTAGAGAGAAGCTGAGAATGATGATTGATTTGTGAAAAGTAAACATACACTTACTTCTCAATACATACTCTCTACTGATATAACAAGATGTGTTACAATCACTCAGTGATTCTACAGTATTCTCATTTATAAATATCTGTCAAGGCTTCTTTCAACAAGCAATTGAACAGAGTGATCATTTCAAAATCACATTTATAATTCTGCACTGAGGTCTTGAACATTTTACAGTTATCACAATAAGATTGACAACCTCACCTGAGTTCTTTCAACAGTGTATGAAGAAGATTCTAGTGAAATTTCTATAGTGATTTATATTAGTCTATGTAGATGATATCATTATCTTCTCTTACTTACTGAATAAACATCTTCATTATATGCAGCAAGTCTTCACAGCTCTTGAGATATCTGAGATAATAATGTCATTAACTAAATGTCATTTCATGTACTTCTCAGTGTATTTGCTGAGTCATTATATCAGCTGACTAGATATATCTATCTAAGAAGAGAAAGTAGCTGCTATTGCTAATCTAGCTTTCTCTATAACACTCAGAGAACTAGAAGAAATCATCAGCCTCTTCAATTATTATCACAATTTTATCAGTTTTTATACAGATCAGATGAAAGTATTAGAGACTCTCAAGATCAAGTTGCTGTATAACAGTTCAAAAACAGGTCAGAAAAGAGTGTCATACACAGCTAAGATTAAGTTAGTGAGATTTGAGAACTCATCACAGTTTCACACTCTGCTCATAAAAGTCAGACATTTGTTTGACATGATAAAGCAAGCCTTGATAGACACTCTCACCCAGGCATATCCTGACTTTAAATGTCTCTTCATATTGTATGTGAATGTCAGTAAGTAAAGAGATATCAGAGTAGTTCTATACTAAGTTGAAATGAATAACATTGAAAGATCTGTTCTATTTCTCTCTCACTGATTGAGCATGACTGAAAAGTGCTACTGAACAACTGAATTAAAGTGTCTTGAACTTATATAAGCCCTGTGAAAATTATCACAGTATTTAGATGACAAGTTTACAGTTATCATGAATCATGTCACTCTTGTATTCACTTTTCAGTCACTGATGATAGATCATTGTAGCAACTGACTGATGAATTGAGTCTTAGTTCTAAGCTTATATCTTCTGCAAATGACAATCTGCTATTGCAAGAGCACTGCACATGCTAATGCTGATATTCTATTCAGATTGTGCTGTCTAGATAATGATTCAGAAGAGATTCCCTCTGAAGAGTAGAAAAAAATCTGTCAGATCATTACTAATCAGGCAGACAAACTGATGATAGACACATCTTCAGTGAAGATATATATGATTTCAACTACAGTGATAGAGCTCACTGATGAATTCAAAAAGCAACTACACTGAGATATTCCCTGCAATTCAGCATTGAGAAAGGTCTTTCACAAGGCCAGTTAGAAAGAGTGATATCAGTTGTTTACAGTGCAGGACAGGCTATTATTCTTCAAAGAATTATGTCTCTGTATTCTCAAATCACTGGTGTGATACATTATCTGTATATGCTATGATACAGCAGGTCACTCTGATCTTCATTGAATGAAAAACCTTATTTATCAGTTCTTCTTTCTTTCTCATGCCTGAAAGAGAATCCTGAACCATCTATCACAATGTCTCAATTGCTAACTAGTCAAATCACTGAATCACTTGTCAGGGGGCAAATTACACCTCATCTCACTCTTAAAACAGCTGTTTGAAGTTCTTTTAATTGATTTTATTACAGAATTATCTGTGAGTGACAATCATAACACTATATTGACAGTCACAGACAAATTTTTGAAAGCAGTAATTCTAATTACAGAACAGAAACAATGAGATGCTTCATGATAAGCAGAAGACTTCTATAAGAAGATAATCTGCTGCTGACAGCTCTCACTGACAATTATTTCAGATAGAGATCTCAAATTTACATCACAATTTTGAAAGTCAGTTCTTCAACTCATGAAAATTAAGGCATGAATAACAACTGTCTATAATTCTTGCTCAAACAGTCAAAGCAAGTGAATCAATCTCACAGTTGAAGTCATATTATGAATACTTCTTATAGATGAATATGAAACAAATTGAACTGCTCTGCTTGAATAAGTGAAAAGAGTGTTGAACTCAGTAACTACACAGTCAGCAATGATCTCTCTCTTTGAATTGCTCATGAGTGTAAAGTCTAGATAGCTGTCATTGAACAATGAGAAAGCTCTGCTAGATGTAGCTGAGTTTATCACTGTGTGAGATATGATGCAGTAAGATGTTCTTGACTCATACATTCTGACAAAAGCTAGAATGACTGAGTTCTTTGACTGATCTCATTCTTAATCAACTATTCAGATTGACAATTGAGTCTTCTTGAACCTTACTTAAAAAGCTCAAAAGAGCTATATATTAAAAGAGATGTTCAAGCTATCACTCTTACAGATAGGCTTATTTCATGTTCTTCAGAAAGTATCAGATGCTGCATTTCAATTGAAACTATCAGCTGATTAATGAATGTACTCAGTAATCTTCATCATTTATCTGAAAAAGACTGTGTTAACAGAAGTGAATATAAAACACTTATTATCAGAATCAGTACTTATTGATGATCAGTTGCAATTTGAAGTTGAAAACATCATAAGAAAGTGCACAGAGAACAGCAAGACTTATCTTCAGATTAAGTGAAAGAGATATAAAGACCTGATCTGAGAGCTTCTTGAAGTCTTTGCATAAGATACTCTGCACCTGGTCAAGGTCTTCATGACTAAGAAGCCTTGCAGTCAGCTGAGTAAATGATAGAAAGAAAAGTAAAATAGAGACAGAGTGAAAGAAAGAAAGAAAATGTATTATAATCTAATTTTAGCTATTAAATGAGGAAACAAAGAAAATAAGAAAATCACTATCTTTCACTCTTTTCATCATTTCACTCTGTCTCTTCTTATCAATCATCTTCAAGCTCTTTCTACAGCTTGACCTTCTGCTCAGTGAGATATATATCTCAAAATACAATATTCACTGATAATTTCTTATTCACAAGATCACTGAAACACACTCTGCTGAGTAACTTAAAGAAATGATTATTAATCACAGTATCTCTCACAGCTGAAACTATATTAATGAACTCAGCTATCTTATTCAGTTTCTTTCACACAGCCTGAACAGTGTTCAGATTATGCTTATCAAGATTAGGCAGCTGTCTCAGTATCTTCAGATCTTGAGCTCTACAATCAACTGTGCGGCCTTCAGAAGACAGGATTGACAATCATCACACACTGCTCATCTTGGCCTTATTAATCATCTTAGCAGGGGTTGAACAGCTTGTCTTCATCTCATTATCTATCTTCACAGGTATTGAGATGCTCTGCTCACTGATTTGAACACATTTCAAGAGTTTCAGTGCAATCAGACTCAATGTCTTGTGCTTAAAAGATATAGGCATTTTCTTCATTGAAACTATAGTTGAATCATTCTTCTTCTCTGTATCACTGATCTTAACAATGTCATCAATATCTGTCTTCTCAGCTGCAGTCTTTTCAAATTCAGGCATACTCTCTTCAAACAGCAAGTTATCTGTGTTTTGCCTGAGTTCATACTGACTACAGTGATTTAAAGAGCAGTGAGACTTCTTATTTCCTCACTAACAGTTGATGTAAGTATCATACTCTTGTCACATCTGTTTGTCATCTGCAGGGGCAATCACACATTTCTTAAATCATCTCTGGCTCTTCATGCAACACTGATATGATATAGAAGCTATTTTCTCATGAGTCTGCAGAATAATGATATTCTGATTAGTGAAATCCTTAGAATTGATGATCTATGAAGTGATTAGCTTATCATTATTCATTCATCAGTACAACTTTCACTTAGCAGATAACTGTCTCAAATCTTTAATCAATCACTGACTGAGTAAAATGAAAAATTCATGATTGATAAATAACATCTTCTCACTATATTTCACAAGTCTTTCAATGATCAAGATGACATCTGTAAGCCTCTTCACAGTCAGATCTCACATGATTGACACACTCAGGTGAGCGAGCTTGTCATTCTGCTGAAAGTGTAAGTCAGTCTTGTCATTGTGATGCAGGTGTCTTATATATGCTGTGTCATATAATCAAGACATCTGATCACTCTCAACATTCTTCTTCCACTCTGACTTTCTCAAAACATTGTCACTCAGAGTTTCATATTGCTTTCAACTAGCTCTTCAGTGCTTCTTGTTCTCTTCTGTCAGCAATGATTCTTCAGTATCTGTATTTATTCATTCAGCTTCTACTTTTGATTCTACTTGCAGCTCTTTATCACTGACTGCTTTCACAGCAGTCTTCTGACTTTCTTCTCTCTTATTCATCTCAATGTCTTCTTCTGAAAATCAGTGTGTGAACAGCCATGACTTTTTCAAATGAATAAACAGTGTTATAAGCTTTCACATCATAGTCTTAGATTCTTCTTGACTCTTTGAGCTTCTATCATGTGATTCATCTGTTAACTCTTCTGCAGCAGCACCATGCAGCCTAGCTAAGTAATGATAAGATATCACTGTCTTTTCTTTATCTTGATCTTTGATCACTTCATATGTGAAAAGATAAGTTGATAGTATTGAAAGTTCATCTATCTGAAATTCTAACTCTTCATCTTCATCATTTTCTTTCATCTCATTCTCATCTGTTCTCTCTTCATCAGTCTCCTCATTCATCTTCTCTTCTCTATCACTTATATGAAGAAGAGCATCACACTTCTTCTGACTTAATGACTGAAACAATTTCTCTAAGATCAAGATCTTTTTCACCATGCTCACTGCGCCTGTCTTCACAACTGTTGACTTCTTCTTAAGGCTCATCATTTCTGTGATCTAATCTTCTGTATGTCGTGATTTTCACTAATTTCACTATGTTAAATTTTAGTGAGATGTGTAAGAAATAAGAGAAGGATAAGGAGAAAGTGATTGTAATATATATATTGATATAATCATTCATCTACACTGATCTCTATCACTCACAGAACCTTTTCCCTGTCACAATGAAACTTCTGCTCTCATCTATCTTATCAAAGAACTCTTTCTCATTCAAGCTTCTTGTGATTTCTTTACAATTCCTTTCTTTTCTTACAGCTGTTTTTAGATTAAAGAACTTCTGTCTCTTTCTTATCATTTCTTTTCAAGTCATTCTTACATCTTTCATTCTTTATAGAGATAAACAATTCTTACATCTGATCACTCTTTGTATGAATAAGCAATTCTATCATTCAGTCTCCTCTTTTCTATAATATCTGCAGCATATGTAAACAGACTAGCACTTCTGAACAATATTCACCTCTTTGGGCCTAGCGCTCACAATATCTGCTATCTTTTTTCAACATCATTTTTTTTTCTTCTCTGCGAATGCATTCTTTCAGATAGAGGGACTGTGGCGTACTTTCACCCCCTATTCAAGTCAATCCTCTATTCAGCTCTAGCTTCTACTTCATTTCTTACTGTTTTCTGAAGCTTCTGCTTCTACCTTCTCTCTCTATTCTTCTCTTCATATGTGATCACTTCTTCTATGAGAGCTTTCACTCCTTCTCTACAGAGCCTTCATTCTTTTCTTCATATGTGATTGCTTCTTCTATGAGAGCATCTGCTCCTTCTCTACAGAGCCTCTGTTCTTCTCTTCATAGGCGATCACCTCTTCTACAAGAGCTAATCTCTATAGAACAATCACTGTATATATAAGGGCGTATGCTCATCTCCCATCTTTAAGAGAATAAGACAAGTTTTTACCCTTATATCTGACCCTACGTAGCGGCGTACGCTACAATCACTATATAATTCTACTGTCAGTAATTTTATTAGCAACTTTATCAGAAGTTCTTTCAGAGTATTTTATAAGTATTAACAGAGATCTGTGTCAGATTCATAGTCTTATGAATATTATTCTTATAAACTTAATTATTATTAAGAAATATTAAACTTCTGTTTTAAGTGTCTAATAGAATGTCTTATTCAGATAATCAGACAAGTTCTAGTATAAGATTATAGTTAAGATTATTAACTTTATATGTATAAGTATTCTCATATTAATATTCTCTGATATCTATGTTGAGTTTCATTATATAATAAGTGTAAATATCTTTTAAGTCATCAAATTCTGCAAGAAGTTGAGGTTTTGATAAGAGAATATACTGAAGATTTAATCATTGTATAGTAATATAGACTGCTGTCTATCATAACTTTTATATTATACATATTATCTATTATAATAGATATAAGAATTATATTTATTATTATTTTCTCTTCAAATTATTATCATCTGATCTCTTCAAGCTTCTACTTATAAGTTTGAGTATAAGCTAATCTTTTTCCTATTTCATTGAGATATTCTTACAGTTATGTTTCAAATCTTTCTCTAATATAACATAATTGACAATGTCAAAAAGTATTACTTTCATGTAATATATATACACTTACTTTAATAATTCACTCTCTATGTATATGACTAGACTGGCCGCTGAGATTATGAATTTCATATTTGATTTCATTTAATCTGATCTTATACATTTCTTGATGTGAATCTCACTGAGACTAGTCATTAAAAAAACATGTAAAGTGACTATATATCATATCTTAAAATGAAATCATGACTTGAAAAAAATGAGAAAGTAATCTCATTCTTAGCATAAAGTTACTATTTTTAGATATTTTAAAGTTTTTTTTAGACTATTTTTAATTTTTTAAAAAGTAATACTTTTTGATAACACTCAAATGAGATTTAAAGTCATTTAAAGTAATAAAAATAATTTAAATTGAGAAGTGAAAATCATGATCTCATTTGAAAAATGTGATAAGAGTAGATAGTAAGTCTTACTAAGACAGTATGAAACTACTATCTAATGTTAAAACTGTGTAATGAGATCAGTTGAATTGATAATAAGACTATCAAAAAATCTAGTTCTGGTCTCAGACACGGTCACACGGTCAGTCTATATATGACTGAGAATTGCAGCTTTCAATTTGACATGAACTGTTAGTATTAATCTTTCTTCTAAATGAGAAGATATATACATTAATTAGTAGTTAAAAGTAATATATTTTGATCAGTTACAGTTAATACACATTTCTTATTAATATTAATCAGTAGCTTCTTCAGAAGTAATCTCAGAAACTCAGAAGTCTGTTCAGATAGCAGAAACTCTTGTTTATATATAGATGTTCAAGTCTACTTAATTTATAACATCTATATTATTATTCTTTAACACAGATATATAAGTAACTGAGATGTAATATCTTCTACTATTATTCTGTATACTTTTAAGCTTAATAAGACAGTTATCTAATGTTCAGAGTTGTATGTAGAAGTCTTTATAAGTTAAGTCTCTATCTATACTTATAAGAGCTTATAGAAGTTTAAAAGTTAGTATCTTCTTAAGTATGCTAATCTTCATTTAATTCTCTGAGAATTAATCATCTACTTCTAGAATCTTGATATTAAAGTCAGAGATGAATGTTATAAGAGAAGTATTTCTCTATTAAATACTTTATAATTAATTTAATATTTTCTACTGCATAGCAGTGTCTCTGAACAGAACATTGAGATATCTAATAATATTATCAGATGTATATAATACTGATTCACATGTCTTTATTTATAAATAAAACTTCTGTTTCACATAATGTTTTAATTCATTATTAATATATTAATCTTGATTAGTTAATAAACTAATAATATCTTTATCTACACTTAGTTTCATGAGCATATTCAATCTTTATAATGAATAGAAAATGAGATTAGAAGTAGTAAAATATATAAGAGTATGTAGACATTTCTTCAGTACTTGTATTATATTCATATCTGATTTAGTCAGTGTTGAAATTGTCTGTACAGAAATTTCTTATTGAGATAATTATTAAATTTCTTTATATTAACATTGTTGAGTTGCATATATATCAGCTATCTATTATTATTATAATTTTAACATTATCTATAGTTACTACAGTACTATGTCTATACTTAGATTAACTACTAAGACTATGAATTTCATATTTAATCTCATTTAATCTGATCTTATACATTTCTTAATATGAATCTCACTGAGACTAATTATTAAAAAAACAGGTAAAGTGACTATTGATCAGATCTTAAAATAAGACTATGACTTAGAAAAAATAAGAAAGTAATTTCATTTGATCTCATTTAGTCTTATTCAGAGTCATTCTTAATATAAAGTTATTATTTTTAAACATTCTAAGGTTTTTTTTAGACTATTTTTAATTTTTTAAAAAGTAACACTTTTTGATAACACTTAAATGAAATTTAAAGTCATTTAAAGCAATAAAAAGAATTTAAATTGAGAAGTGAAAATCATAATCTTATTTAAAAAATGTAATAAGAGTAGATAGTAAGTCTTACTGAAATAGTATAAGACTACTATTTAATCTTAAAACTGTGTAATAAGATTAGTTAAATTAGTAATAAGATTATCAAATATTCTGATTCTGATCTCAGATACAGTCACACAGTCAGTCTATCTATACTTATGTTTAAGAGTTATTAGACTGACTGCTGAGAT